GCATTGACTGCTCTCGTTAATACTTTTGGTGTCCTGTAAAACCACCACATCTACCCAGGAGGCACAGCAGCCTCCTCCTAAGGATGCTCTCCCCTCCATGAAGGGACGGGCTGGCCAGCCACCTAGGAAAGCTGGCTGAAGGCAAGAAGCTAATTCTCATACAAAACTCCTGAGAGAGATGTAGTTGGAAGAATTTCTGGGAGGGCGGTGGTGGGGGGCGGACTGACCCTCGCCAGCCCCGGCAGGGCAGCAGGCACATCCCTGTGCTGGCAGACGGAGGGGCCAGATGGCCTCGCCAGTGGTCCTGCTGCCCTGCTGCTCGGCTGGGCTCCTCCGGCGGATGTGAAAACGAGAGAGTGAACTCTATTTGCTAAGAAAAAACTGGCCTTTGAAGCCTGTGGCTGTGTTTAACTTGTGCTTCCCCAGTGCGTGTTTATTGCCAGTTCTCCGAACAAGCCCTGCTACTGCATCCTCCCAAGGAGCACTGTGCTCTGCAGCTCAGCCCTGCAGCCTCATCCACAGGCTCAAAGCTTGCCTTCCACAGGTTCTATTTCATTGAAGTTATTGTTTAAATAAGGGAGCTATTTGCCTTTTTTTTTTTTTTTTGGTCTCACAGCTCTACACACCCAACCCTCTCATTGCCAATGGAGCAACTGGGGGGGCTTCCTTCTTTCTTGCTGCTGCTGTCTGAAGCTCATTGTGAGTTGCTAATGCTGCTGGATGAGTGACCTGAGTCATTACAAACCTCCTGCATCCCAAAAAGGGCATCTTTTGCAAATTCCCACGCTAGCTTTGACGGATAGCATGGTGATACGTAGCTGTTTCACTTCTGCTTTTAAAAGACATCCCCCATGCCCTCGTATGATTTCTGTTGCATCTCTACCAGTTGCAACATCCCTGCCATGCGGTGACTGCAAATGCAACACAACGCAGGGCCTCTGAGAGTCTGCATTTGGGGCATTGTAAGTGCAAAGCACAAGAGGCTATGAAGAAGAGGGCTTTTGAAAGCAGGGGGGGCATTTCAGGATCTTCTTTTCAGGCAATTGCTGCAAGGATTGCTGGTGTTCAGGAAAAGCACGGGACAAAAGATTGCCTGCAGAAGACACATCTGCCAGCAAAGGCTTGGGAGGATGCAGAAAGTCAGCGGTGAGTAATGCTTTGGCAGGCGTTCTGGAGACAAAAATCTATACAAGGCCATCAAGTGGGAGAAATAGCAGTGTTTAACGCTGGAGGCATTTCATCTTCCAAACGCTGTTTCCAGCCTTTGTCAGTGAATCCTCAGGACACTCATGTGAGGGAGGGAATGTCAGCAGCAGCTGCTGAAATGAAGCTTTAGACATACAATATGCCAAAGAAAATGAAAGAAAAGGCTCTGTCTGTCAACATTTCCTCCTCTTTTTCTCCCTGCGGAGCACCAGCCGTTGATCATCACCAACATGCCGGGGAAGCAGCCGGCACTGCAGAGGGGCTGGGGCAGGAGGGGGCTTGCACCTCCCAGGCGACACGGCCGGGGGTGGGTCTCCTCAATCCAGCCCGGAGCGTGGCACAAGCACACCGAGCTGGCATGGGTGACCTGGCTGCATTCGGTAGAGTTTGGAGTTAAATTGTCTCCACCAAAATATTCCTGCGTGCTTTACGCTGGGAGCTCGGGAAGCCTTGGCTTGGTGCTGCCTTAGCTGGGAACAGCTTCTGGTACTTATTCCCCTGGACAAAATGTCACCCACAGCAAGGGCTGGGAACAGAAAACCTCCAAACTTGTAGCGCTGCTGATCAAACCCTTCTGAAACAGCCTAACAAAGACCTGCCCTGCTGCCAGCTGCACACAGCGCTGCTGCTTCGCCCTGGGTCTAGTCGTTACGTCTCCTTTACATACTGATGGAGCCAACATTCAGCTTTGCAGCCCTGTGACACTCAAGGCACATTTGAACACTAGGTGTTACTGGTGGGACTCGGTCACTTGCATGGGAAAAGCTCCAGGAGCATCCCCATCCCTCTGCAAGCCGCCAGCTAATTCCCTGCCAGCACCCCGCTGCCATCATGCGCTGTCCTGAGAAGCAAAGCCAGTGCCTGGGCGATTGAGTGACCGCAGCCAGCAGCCCAGCTTCCACCCAGCGTCAGATGACCTCTGAGATCAGCAGAGGCTTGGGGAAGGTTGGCAGGGGTGGATCTGAGTCCTGGCTATTTCTTTTTCACATTGCCTAGCTATGCACTAAACTCTTCCTGCAGAACCCAACAGCTCGGTTGCATTTTTTGGACATTCCCTTGGCTTTACCCCCCAGGGACTAGAGCTCAACACTGGTACAAATCTTTTCAGGGTTCGGGCATGCAACCGGTCCCTTCCAAGGAACCAGAGAACTGGGCAGGTGCTTCCCACTGACAATCCTTTCTTTGAAAATCCTTCCCACTGACCCTGCAAATCCTCAGCTAACCCGCAGACAGTCACACACAGTCCCTGTGGTCGCCGTTCCTGTGGTTTACGGCTGCACAGCAGTGTGCTGGCATTGCACAGAGCTGGGAGAGGGGCTGGGACGCGGGAAACAAGGCGTGTGCGGGGTGAGGAGCAGAGAAGGGCTCCTGGCTTGGCTGGCCGGCAGCTCTGCGTGGGACCTGGTGCCACTGGAGGTGTTTTAAGGCTGAGATGGTGAAGAAGAGGGTGGGTACGGCCTTGGGCCAGAGCCGGGGAGGCAGGGACCTGGCGGTATTGCTGTTAGCGCCCAGCAGAGGGTCCTCACTGTACCACACTACACACAGTTTGTAATTGAACGCTCTCTAGGGGGTTACCGACACAGCTGGAGCCAGTTAGATGGGCGAGGGCCACCTTGTTCTCCCTGGGGTGCTCCTGCTCTCACCTCTGGCTGGGTTTTGTCATGGGTGTCCCACAAACGCTGTCCCAGCAGAGCGCAGCCTCCGATGGGGACTCTCCTCCGCCTCCTGCTGCCCTTCTCTTCCAGTCCTCCCTGCAGCCTCAGCCTGCGCATCTCCCTTCTGCAACTCCTGTCCCAAAGTGCCCCCAGCCTCCCCGCCAGCCCTCTCGATCCCATGCCACCATCCCTGCTCCCTTCCCTGCCTGCCCTCACACCATCCCCCCTCGATGGGCACAGCCAGAAAAGGGCTGCTGTCCCCCCCAGGCATGGCACTGGAGAAAACCCAAACCTCCCGAGACCTGAATGACACCCCTACCCTGGGCTCCTCACAGAGGCCAGCGGAACTGGGGGCTTGCCTGGAAAGAGTCCCATTTCCCGGGATCATGGACTTTTCAGCGAGGCAGAGGAGAGGCAGGGATCCCTGCTGCCTACCTGCCCAGGTGCCCTGCCGAGTGGGACCGCGGCGGCGGCTGTCTCACCCAGACACCGCACAAGCTTTCGGGGTTGACTTCTAAGGGTCCCACCATGCTCCCAGAGTGATGCCCCACCTCTCGCGCTCCCCTCTGCCTTCACCCCAATGGCACCCAGAGCTCTTGGTGATGGCAGAGTGATGGCCACCCAGCCGCGTTTGTCCTCCCCTCTGTGCCCCACGTTTTGCTGTGCTGGGTGCTGCCCTTGCCCGTTCCATAGCTTCCCCCACTGCCCTGCCTTCCTCCCTTCCCTCTCTTCCTTGCACTTTTCCTTCCTATTCCATCACTTGGCTCTAATCACCTCCCCGAGCCTTCCCTCACCACTACATGGCCAGTATAAACCATCCCTCTTGCTTTAGGTACTGGTAAAGAGATGCCCTGACTGGAGACTCTTCAAACCTGGACACCCAGGCAGGAGATGATACAGGCAAGGTACCTGCTTCTGCTCCGCCGAGGAGGCAAGTGCCAGGCTGGGCTTCTCAAGGGGATTTAGATGCCCGAGGCGTGATAAAGACCCACGAGCCTCCTGCACACCCTGCTGTCACCCACGCGTGGTGACATTTCCCAAAGCACCTCTCCTCACTTCAGGGACTTAGAGGTCAAACCCTGCCTACAAGAAAGAAGCTAGGGCTAAATCTTTTTGGTGCACTCCAGCGTTTTCAGCCAAAGTTTGGAAAGAAACACTGCACGTTTGCAGGAGGATCTGTCACGCTGCAACCACAAGGCTAGGAGGTGCTTTGGGAAAGGTTGCTGGGTCCCCAGGCTGGGTTCCTCGCCAGGATGCCCCACGTGCAGGGTCCCCATCAGGACGCCATCCCTGGATCATCCTCGCTGCCTTCGCTCCAGGGCTCCGAGCCCAGCTGCCAGTGCAGCCGCCCCGTGGCATCCAGCAAAGCACCTCAGGAACGGGTTACTGAAACTGCTAGGTGTATTTTAACATTAATTTTGAAAAACTTGAGGTAAAACTGTTACTGGTAACGAGTGCTTTTAGACAAGGCTTAGTAGGTTTTGTTACTGTGTCCCTCTTACTCAGACACCAGCAGAACTCAGTCTGGCTGTTTTACTTGTTCACATAGCTGTCTGGAAAAAAGGAGAATATACAAACCCAAGCTGTGGCGGCTGCGTTCAACACCGACCCCTCTGGCTTCGGGGGGGGCACTGGAGCCATAAGGTACCCTCAGAATGATCATGTTGTATCTAGCACTTCCCAAAGGAATGGTGTTTTTTAAAAAAGATAAATAACCAGGAGAATTAAAGATATCCCTTAATTTCAAGGAAAGGAAAAGTTTTGGTTCCAAACTACACTGTTGCTGACCAGCATTTTAAGGCTTTGATTTTCTCTCTTTTTAAAACTGAATTATTTTTGTCTTTTGGCAGTTGAGATGCACTTTGTGGGAAACGCGTTAGCTCCCTCTACAGCGCTGTGAACTGGAACGGAGGAGTGGAACGAGGCAGCGAGGGAATGAACCAAAAATAAGCCAAAGTAAAATAAAATGGGGCTGGGGAAAGCAGAACTTGCTGCAAAGTTTTCTGGGATGGGAGGAGGGATTTATGTACTTCTTCCTCATCGTCTCCTGAGGAGGAAAAAAAAGAAAGAGGGAGGACCTGTCCAGGGGACCAGAGGATGCTCCCGGCAGGCGTGAGGAGAGGAGGGGAGGAGAGGGCTTTAGTAGAGTCCGCATCCCCGCAGATTGGTGGCTATAATGACATCTGTGACGGCATCAAAGACGAACTGGATGTTGTTGGTGTCGGTGGCGCAGGTGATGTGCGTGTAGATCTCCTTGTTGGGGGACTTGTTCTTGCTCTCGTACTGAGCCTGGATGTAAGCCACAGCCTCCGTGAAAGAGTTCGGGCCTATGAGAGAGCCGAGATGGAAGGAAAAAGAGCAGGTTAAAGCAGTTGTGTAACCCTAAATCCATGGGGTGCCTGAGCGCCCCGTTGTAGGGACACGGGGAGCTTGTATGGGGCTCTGCAACCCAGCTGTCCCGTCTCAGGGATGGGCACTCTGCCAGCCAGGGTTGCTGCAAGGGAGGAGATGCTCTCTGACTGTCAGCTCAGATGTATTTTTATTCTGGGTTGCTGTTTATAGTCTACAGACATTAAATGGGTGAGGGAAGTGAGTGTTAAACAGGCTAGGATGGGAAAACCAGAAGAAATGGTGACAAAAAAGAGAAGAAACCTGCCAGGAATGCAGTAAGTGCTTGACCTGGTGAGAAGGCTTAAGCTTTTTTCCTTTTTTAGATTTTTTTAATTAAAGTTTCAGCTTTTGATGGAAAAGAAGAGCTAATGTGTCCATGAATTGAGGACAGTATTGATAACTGTGCCCTGCTTTCCCTGAGTTGCTGAGAGAAGAGGATGCAAAAAGATCCAGCCTCTGCTACAGGTCAAAGTGGGGTTTTCTCAAAAAAAACCAACCCCAAAACACTAACACAAAATGTCCCTCTTTTTCAGGGATTAGGTTTGCAGTACCCTCTGCCAGAGCTGTGGCTAAAATCACACCACGAGGAGTTTCTTGGTTTGATGTCTGTGCCGAACCTCAGTAACCATCAGGTTTCACACTCAAAAAGCTTAAGCGCAGCGACGCGGAAGAGCAGGTCCTTTCTCATCTGGCCAGCCTCGCCACTGCTCACACACACAGCTCACCCGGCCACCGGACCGGCCCTGATAAACCCAGTTTCTGTGGCTGGCCCGGAGTGCAGCCCTCCAGCCCTGCTGGGTACGGCCCCGTGCCAGCGGCCCCCCAGCCCCGGAGGGCTCTGCGCTGGCCACACTGCTAGTGCCCTTGGTCCTCTCCCTCCGTGATGCTTTACTGATGGGAAATGTTGTTATCTGCTGGAGAGAACCTTACTTGGGCTTGAGATTCGCTGCGGTTGAAGGCTGGTGGTCTGGGAAACAGCTTGCACTTAGGTGTCTGTGTGTTGCTATTTGGAGACACACGCTCATGAAGACCACAAAAATATGCTTGAAATAAGACAAGCAAAATGTCTTCTGGGAGCAGGTTCTTGCATGAAGACTTGTGGAAAGAATTGGGAACAGTTCCACATCCTGTGCACCACCAGGAGGGGATTTCATGAAAGGGAAGTTGGTTGTTCAAAGGCAACAGGATTTAGATGCTGGATTCCTTCTGGGAGAGCAGGGAATTACTAACGCCAGCTGGGTTGAGAACACACCCTGGGTTCTGCTGCTGCTTCGCTAAGTGTGTGGATTAGTTAAAAGCATGAGTGAATTAAGGGGATGGAACCAGTCAGTGCTCCAGCATACAGCAGGCACATCTGCGGATGTAGGCTTCTAATAATTCTCTGTCAGCAGAACTAATGGACATCAGAAACTTCATTTTATTAAAAAGCATTTTGTGGAACCGACTTGTGATGCTGAAAGTCCACTTGTTTGATTTATAGGCTTTCATCAAATAATTCTTTTTAACTCCAGGGCAACTTTCTAATAACGCTGCTTTTTCACCAGGCCACGAGGGCTTCATCCTCTGAGCCACGGACAGCAAAGCAGGGGCGAGCAAGCTTAAGCGTCTGCTTGGGTCTAAAGTCTGGGCTTAACGTTAGCACGAATTTCCAATTTTGTAACGGCATTGCTGAATGCCTGGGGGTGAGATCTTTTCCCTTCTGGTTCAGATCCCTGTTGGATCAGTGGAAGGACTTGCAGCCTTCAGACTTCCAGCCCTCTCCGATGGCACAAGAGAGGAAAGAGGTCTGTGGAGGGTCCCTGGCATTGTCATAGCTCCCAGCTGCCTCGAAGGAATTCAGAGCATCTTTGGGGTACTCTGAGATTTGGGGAGGACTGCTTTGGTTCACTTGGGGCTGAAGTGCTCCAGAAACAAGATACATTTGTTTTCTTCTGTGTAAGCAGCTGAGAGCTTAGCTATGTGTGTCCAAGGGTCTGCCTCCCCCGCTGAACTCCTCTCTGGGCTGGGATAGCTTGGGAAGGAAAAGTTCCATCTGAAGTGACATTCCTTCTTGTTCTAGTCTCTCTGCCATCAGGGATATGGAAGAATATGACTTCAGAGTGGGGTTACTGGGAGACTTCAGTGAAGATCCACAAAACCAGGTCCACAAAATGCAACCAGGAAGGAGTGAAAGGTGCAGGTTCGCTTCACGGAGAAAAGGGAAAAAGGACGAGGGCATGAAAAAAAATCTTCTGGTACGTAAACGCACTGCTGTAAAGAGGATGGTGATGAGCTGCTTTACCAGCCATCCAAAAGATGGCAAGCAGCAATCTAATCTGCACCCGGAAAAATTTGGGGTTGGCATTATTGTGAGCTTTCAACTGTAAAGACTGTGACATTTCCATTATTAGATCTTTCAGAAAATCGTGTCAGGATGATGTTGGTTCTGTCTGGATCAAGCAGATGAGTAGATGGCCAAAATGTGTTGGTAGTGACAAACATCCAAACCTTCCCCGGAGAGGAAGCCTGCAGATGTTCTTCTGAATTCAGACGGAGTCGTTCTGCTCCATGGTATCAGACCATTCAGCCCAAAGCAGCAATGATGGATCGCTTTTGCCTATTCATCGTGAAAAATCAAGTGCTCAGAGATAGGAAGCTTTGGTTAACCATTTGTTGGCCTGCCCAGAACTGTGACACTCTCGGTACTCCCGGTTCAGAACTATGTTTCCTGACAAAGAGATCCACTTCTCTGTCTGGCGGCTTGATTCATCTGGATGGCTCTGGTGAGCTTAAATAATTCATGATGATAAAAGTTTATTTTTAAGCTGTCTCGGAACAGTAATGAGGGTTTGTGGAAGCTGGCGAGATACAGCGGGAAGCGGCGGGGTGCAGCTGCAGCCTTTGCATGGGGGATGTGTTCCCATCGTGAGCAGGGCAGACGCCAGGCAGGCAGCAGAAGCGAGGGCTCCTTGCACGCTGCCCTGTTGCAGAGCCTCTGCTCGGATCTCCAAGTTTCATTAAGGCCTCCTTCTCCCCAGCAAAGCTCGGGGCATGGCTTGCTGTGGCTCTTCTCCATCTGCACGATGCGTTAAGAGATGTGGGTGGCCAGTGCATGAGAAAAACAAGGGCCTTGCTTTCTATCTGCATCTGGCTGGAAGCGTTTCCATGCCCAGGATGGTTGATATCAGCAAGCCTGAGAGCGAAACTGGGGACCTCCTACCCTAGTGTGATAAAAATGTACAGCTAGAGCTGAAGCAGCCAAGCTGTGGGACCTGCTGTCTGGGTGCCGAGGGCTGGTCCTACAGCCGCTCAGTGCGTGGCAGCGGGTGGTGGCCAGGAACCGCAGAGGGATCCTCGCTGTGCTCAGCATGGACCAGGGGAACACGGTGGGTTATAAACAGAATAGCTGGACCCCAGCTGAGGACAGCCTAGCAAACGCCGTGCGCTGGTCTCCCAGAGACCGGTTACCCAGCTGTCATGGTTAAGCTCGCTGTGTCTTTCTGAGAGACCTGCAAGAGGGTTCATGTTCCTGAGCAGCGCCGGGAGCCAGGGCACAGGGACAGGGAGCGTGCTGCCAGCCCCACGCCTGCACGGGCTGCCTCGGCGTCGGAACCGCCCGCAGGGCAGAGCTTGGATGCTCCCATAGCGGTGGTGGCCCTTCGCCGGCAAAGAACTTGGGTTTAAGTCATCCTCGTGCTTTAAGCGGACCACTAAACGTGGTGGTGGTGATCCTATTGCATTTATTGAAATAAAACTTGCAGGGAAGCGAACGGGAGCTCTAGGTGTGCATCTTTAGCTCACTGCCCGCGATACACGGCAATGTCAGCCCCAGCGGGAAACACCCCGTGCCCCCTTTGCCTCCCTGTGCAGCCAGCTTTCTCATTACCTGTGTACTCAGGAAAGCAGATAGTCAGTGGAGATTTCTTAATTTTCTCCTCAAATATGTCCTTCTTGTTTAGAAAGAGGATAATAGACGTCTCTGTGAACCATTTGTTGTTGCAGATGCTGTCAAAAAGCTTCAGTGACTCGTGCATGCGGTTCTGCAACAGAAAGGAGAGATCGCATCAGGCCAAAGGCGGCGACGTGGGGACGTTCAACACGTAG